TGTAGAAAAGAAGAAAAAAAAAAGACAACGCTATTTTAAAGGAATTCTTCTCTCGTCTAGACATGCCAATATCTGCCTGGAATAGTCGGATGAGAAAATTGGTTTATAAGAACCCTGCAATTAATACTGAATGAGACACAGGGCGGCTGTATGTTCAGCTGTTTATTCGCTTCCAGAAGCTGGACATCTAAAGGACGCTATCTGAAAACAAACCTGAAAAAAAAAAGTCACAGGACAGAGAAACCCACCTCAGCATTTTGTCAGCTTGTGTATGCTGCCTTTTAAGGGAGCTCAATCGTTTTAAAAGAACAAAACGCCCGATTTAAAAAACAGGAACTGGTTTTTAATTATCTGACATTCATTTCAATGTTTCTTGTTTGCAGCTGCCACCTGGCCAGCAATTCTGTCCAGATCTGTCCCTCGGGGTGAGTTTGCAACCTCCATCCTGATCCTTCCCCACCATTTTTAGCCCCTGCAGCACCCTTCTGGCCACGCTCTTGGAGCTGCGGCTGAAGTGGCTGGGCCTGGGCATGACGCCGTTGCGCTGGTGGCCCCCGTAGATCTTGGTCATGGAGCCGACGCTGGCACCGCCTCGGAGATACAGGTGCCGGGCTGTGGAAGCTGCTCCGGTATAGAACCAGTTCTCATCGTACGGGGCCCAATTCCTTGTACTTGGCCAGCTTGACCGTATGCTGAATGTCGACAGAGCTACATGGAGACCCCAGTCACATCACAAACCCCCTATGGTCCTAACCATTCCAGGACGCTTTCCAAACCTTGGTTTCCTTTCCTAACTCTCCCCCTCCCATCAATATTAGCAGATTATCTGATAAAAAACATTGTCATGTTAGAGCAAATGTTCATAAATATATTATGTCGAAAACTGCTAATTACTTCCATCAGGTGAGTGGCTGATCTAAGGAAAAAAATCATAACCCTGGTTAAAAGTCAGTGGGTGTGCCAAGAACTCTAAGGCTTAGAGCAGGAGTAGGCAACCTATGGGACGTGTCCCAAAGGCGGCATGCGAGCTGATTTTCAGTGGCACTCACACTGCCCAGGTCTTGGCCACCGGTCCGGAAAGGCTCTGTATTTTAAATAAGCTTCTTAAAAGATTTTAAAAACCTTATTTACTTTACATACAACAATAGTTTAGTTATATATTAAAAACTTATAGAAAGAGACCTTGTAAAAGAGTTAAAATGTATTACTGGCACGCGAAACCTTAAATTAGAGTGAATAAATGAAGACTCGGCACACCACTTCTGAAGGCTGCCTACCCTTGGCTTAGAGGAAGGACTAGTCAAACCCCTTTATTTAACAAAGAGCTACAAACAATGGCAGGACTGCCCAAGTCACACAATAGGTCAGGGCTAGCCTATGTGGGGAAATGACAGACAACTAGAGAGAGACAAGGTGGGTGAGATAATATCTTGTATTGGACCAAGTTCTGTTAGAGAGAGAGAGAGAGAGAGAGAGAGAGAG